TGTATATCACTCTGTATTTTCTGAAGCCGATGATTGCATTATCAAAACTGGTAAGGTAATACACGAATGTCTACTTGTGTTGCCAGGCCACTGCTATTTCTTGGGTATACTGACGTGTATGACGTGGGTGTAGCATACCTGTGGGTCTATAAATCTTCTTGCGTCGGTCTTTTGTCTTTTTGATGGTATTTTAGTCATTCCTGATACATTTAGTGTCATTAAATTTGTTATTTTCAGATATTAGGATTTTTATCGACATAGAACAGCTGGTTCCTCCCATAGACTTGTGTAACACAAACGTGCGACGACAAATGGCGTCGCAAATAAAAGTAATATCTGGAAACAATTTTAAATCTAAAATATATCAGAAATGACTGAAATGTCATCACACAGCTATGAATCCACAGCTAAGTGTAGCACTTATCAAGTAAACATAACAAGTCAACAGAAACGTCCTAACGTGTAAATATCTATAATTATACAGTGACCATTATAACCATTCATATTCTACCATTTTATACACCAATAATAATGTTCGTACCCATCGACGCGTTCTCTGCAATTTTACCAAAAAGTTTGTCAATAATTGGTTCGGTGGAATCCTTGATAACTATTACTTGTACTTACCAATGATATGCAGGACAGAATGCACTTTATGTATTTACGATGCTGTACGTCACTTGTGTCACATCAGTATGGTGTATTATGTGTGTGTATCAGTATGGTAAATTATGACACACAACCAAGAAAAGAATCAAATTCTCTCAAAGTACATAATTTGAATTCAGACTTTCCAAATACAATACATCGAGACATCGTATAATTGGTGACTCTGATAAACAAGGATTAGAGTTCGGTTTTCGGAAACCGCATTCCCAAATACAGCACATTTTATCTGTTTTTTCTGCCATGTTTTTCATTTTGAAAATCTGATAAGTTTTCCAAGTGCACACAGATTAATGCAAGCAGAACGAATTCTCCTTCACACAGACTGTGAACCAAATAGCACGTGGTGGTATCCAGCACGGATTTTAGTACCGAATTTAGAAATTGCTCACCTAGTGCAGCCAAAGAGCGTTAACTTGTTGGCAAACAACTTACTATACCTTAATTCTGACGTATCTATAGTGGCACCTCTGGAGCCACTTCGTTACTATGACTATGTCGTTAGACAAGAAAGCGATGAAGGATTATGTAATATATCGCTGAAAAACATTCACTGTTTTTGAAATACTTCTACGAATCGTATTACAGCGGTGCATGTTGGGCATGTATATTTGTTCTAGAACAATATATTCTAGCTCAATCACATTTGGATCTTCTGCACATTGAAGTGAACAGCATGGTTAAACCATCATGTACATAAGACTATATACAGGCTACTATGATTGGCGGCATGAGCATTTCACCATCCATATTTTGATTCGCTACTATCGAAAGTATGTAACAGATGTAAGCACTTTATAGAGAATATAAACACACGTTCTAACGCATTTTGGAGAAATATGTCGTTATAAATACTATGGCTCGCCTGACTATTGTAGTATACTGGTCATATTGGTAACAATTATTTCTCCACTTGTATATTATATTTATTATGTCAAACTTCCTCATTTGTTTCCATTATTAGGTCATTTTCGCACCATTTTGACATTTGGCCTTACAGTGATATTGTATGACCATGATTCCGAATCAGTCGAGGCTTGGAGAATGACGCCCTCTATGATATACGGACCAACACACTGCAACTTGTATTGTCAGAAAATGTTAATTAGTATACCATATATTATGCAATGCCACCAATTGACAGAGGGCCATCGATGATCGCAATATTTACATAAGAAAAAGAGCAAGTCTCTACTTTAATTAACAAACTGCAACATGTTGACGGCAACACGGTGTGATACACGGACCGACTTGTGTCAGCAGATTTGCATACGACAATTTGCATATACGTTCGAATTCCAAGTAACAATCGGTTAACACAGTTATGGTCTAACAATCTGGTTACATTAATCAGTGTAATAAAACATTTCACATCCTAAATCTGAATGAAATTTTCGATTAATTAGATTAAATATGCACTATTTACGTTAGAAAAGTGCAGTCTTTTCAAAGATGCCAAGGCATTACATTATACAATAAATAAATAAATAACTTTATAAACTGACTAACAGCTTTTTTTCAACGCCCAATGAATGTTAGGCGCGGTAAATCGAAATGGTTCAAGCCAGAAATAGTAATGAAGTATTCACCAGAAAAAAATTAAATATTAAGTTTATAAACCAAGATATTAAGTTATTTAAGATATAAAGTTTGTAAGTTGAGATGGGGATTGAATTCATTTCATATCTTAAAGCGGGGGAGTCACCTGTGCATGCGTCAGATGCCCATAGCGTGTCATTGTCTACCCATGAGCCTTTGCGTTCTTATCGTGTGTTGTTATCGTCGCTTGGGACTCAATTCCCGCGCGTGCGCAGGTGACGGCCCTCCCGCTTTAACTTACATATGTGGCAATAATGATCAGAATCGCAGCACAATAAGTGTGATTCAGTAATTAAGAGTCTATAATGATAAGTGCAAGATTACTGTGGGTGCACATTGAGGGCAGTTTTCAATACTGAGGGATTCGGAATATCAGTTCAAAGACATGTAGCGAGCGGACACATCAATGCTGGCGGCTCACCTGATTCAATAAATAATGGAAATGACAAGTTAAGTGATGTTGAATGATGAGTTATTTTTTAAGTTTGGAAGTGTGAGGTTCAGATATATTTGCTACCCAGCAGTGGCCATCATACGTGCATTAGCGTGTATTGTGTTCTAAGGATAATATGGTCTGAATGAAAAGAAGTAAAATTGAGTGTAGTTGCATTGGGAAATTGTTGCAGGCAGTTGTATGTGATTGGAACACCTTTATACTGCATATAACTGTCGTGCAACTAAAGAAGCAAGATTTGTTATTGTGTTGTGTAGTATAAACGGGGTGTGGATTTAACGACACACTGAAAGCAGCTAAAGCCAGATTTATATGCCGATACGTAAGAAACACTGCCAGTACAATGAACCGAAAGGCGGCGGCACGAAATTTTGCATGAGGGGGGTGGGTGGCGACCTCCAGGGGCATGCTCTCCCTCAAACGTTTTGAAATATAGACCCTCAAAGGGTTTCAACTTAATTTTGGAGGGGCGACGCACATCGTACATCGTGACCAATAATAAAATGATTGATTGCCCAACTGTGGGAGAGTCTTTTATTTCTGTGCTAAATGTACAACACCAAAGTACCGCCATTTATTTTTTCATGGTTGTTCGACCATAGTCGTCTGCACCAGTATCACGAGTTCTAAGTTTGGTTTACTATTTTGGTCGCTCGACACCATATTTACCGCCTCCCTCTCGGTACCGACGCCCAACTCGGCGTCCTAGAGAGGAAATCTACTCACCTCGCCACGCCACCTCGATACCTCTCCTTCCCGGAAACGTGCTTTCCAATACGAGACTGATTTCTCTATAAGATCGGCCATTTAAAATCATATTCTGGACAAGATTGTTATCAATTAAATGGTCGGCTTTCATTGCTGCTCCAAATCATTCAGAAAATAGCAGCACAAAAACCGCGCAAATTCTTTTTACCACTACTTTACAGCAGTTTTCACACATACACCAGTTAATTTCATTACCCAATGGCTGGAGCAATTTCACATCGACCAGACGCCATAAAAAAGAAGACGAGATTTGACAGGATCGGCAAACGCACATGCGTATACAACAGCTGGTACTAATATCCTAATTTCCTAATAACTTATTTTGCACTCGTACAATGCAAAATACATATTTGATTAGGTTGGTTGGCAATCAAGTACCACCAACAGCGAATCAAAAATAAGACTAATATACTAAATTTTATTCAATTAATTGTGAGGATGAGATTACATTGTGAAATGGCCACGATGTACCACGGATCACTTATACTATTTCATTCGACGACGGATCTGTTACGCATTTGATTTCGAAAAACAGAAAGCACATTAATTGAGCAACATAATTGAGCGCAATTGTGACTGCGTCAAAAAGCAGACAATTTAGTTGGGAAAGATTTACAAGCGAATAAAAGATAAATTTAACATAAAAATGACTCCAAACTATATACAAAATATCATAATTCTTTAGAATTATCAGATTTATTAATTTTCAGAGAAAAATATTTGAAAAAATGCAATTATTGGTTTTATTTTTTTATTCGGGTACCAAAATAGTTGCTTAACAAACGTCTGACTTATTTAATGTAATGATTCGTGTAAAAAGTTTGATCAAAGAAAATGATAAAAGATGAACGTCTAAGCATATTGTGTTACAATATATAAGAAGAGAAGACTAATATAATTGTAGGCAATCGAATTTAGCATTCCGCTGCCAATACTGCAGTGTGACTGACTGTATCTTCGATAATTCTTGTTGTATGAGTCTAGATTATTAGCAAAACATTTCGCAATTTCTGCATCACATAGGCATAGAGCTGCTTTGCACGACGCTATATAATCATCTCTATATTCATCGGCAGTTTCTGAAGCCAAACACAAAGAAACAGTTCGTATGCATGCATGGAAGATTGTGTTGGTTTGGAATTCTGATGATTCAGATATATATCTATTCATTGACGTAGTTAATGTGAATCCAGTGGCTAATAAAATGTTGAATATACTGCTAGAGAAATGTCAAGCTCAATAACACAAACAATGGACAAACAATAAATAATACACGGTCTTGAATACGTAAAGAAACGTAACCTTGTATGGAAATACATATACAGCCAATCAGTCATATCCATGTATATTAGTTCTGAATACTGAACATGAATCCTTTTATATTATATTTAGTAGAAAGGATGTCATTCAAGTTTTATCTACCAATACAACTAACTAAAGAAACCTTTACATGACCAAATCTTTTAAATTGACTGTATATGCACTTTGTAAGTATATACAACTGATGACTTACTGCACACTATTTCAGCCTCATTCGTACCGCAATTCTTAGTATCATACTCGTACATGACAATATACTTATAAATTTGTCTACAGTTCGTTTTTTCATAACACGAATCATGCGCCTCACAGCACCTGGAAAATCAAACCATTTCAACAATTATTCTTCATTATTCAATTTTAAACTTAAAATTCAATACAAATCGAAATAAACGAATTAAATAAACCTACTCGTCTGTTGCATCAATAGGTGTCCCTTCTCCACCATATCCACAAAAGCAGCCATATCCTTTATAGCTATCGACCCAGCCAATCATGCTGCTGTTAGTCGTGCACGTTGTCATTACACCCATCTGCAGTACGTTCCGACGATATCGGTCTTTGGGCAAGGATGCAACCTGAAAGCACCCTGAATGAACAGATTAATTAATGCATTTACAATTTTCATAACTGATTGCAAAAACAAAACAAAAATAGTATACATACCATTCAATGCTGCTACTAGTAGAACCTGAAATAATTTCATACTACCCTGCAAGTAAAAATTAAATTATATTATATATTACATTATTGTTGTGGTACTCCCTGGTTTCGTGACATTAGTCGTGTCAGAGGATTTTGTTCTCATGGTGGATATCAGTCTACACACACAAACACTGATTTGCCACCCTCTTGGCTTGTCATTTTCCTCAACACACTGATCGCGCGGGTGAACGCGGTGCTTTTCAGCGCTCCCGGTTTGTTACAGGTTTGGCCTCATGGCTTAGTAGTGTCGGTTTTCAGCTTTAAAACATATTATTTATGTCCTGGGTACGACGTTAAAATTGCATCCGGTTGCGGAGTTTTTGTACTCGGGAGAATGAGGTTACCCTTTGCCGCAACTACCTCCAGGTCACCCTTGGGCAAGGTGTAGCACCTGTGAGCCTTGGGTGCCAACTTCCCACATAACAAGTTCGGTTGACGTCAGTAAGGGCATACGGTCGTAAAATAGATCCGCACAGGTGGACAATTTTTCATGTAAATATGTAGATATTAGTTTCAGTTGTACTTAGCATTTGGCAGGGGGGATCGTAACCTCTTGTGGTGAGAACCAGTGTGACTGGCCTGCCAACGGGGTGCTAAGGATTTCATTGGAAAAGTTATCAGTTACATCCGTTAATGTAATTTCGTTTTACATACCCGTAAATCAAAAATCACATTATATCTTATTGGCAGATAGGGCTGTCAAGTATGAAAGTATACTATATTATATGGCTTGAATTTACCTGCTCTATTTGCCGGTCACACTAACAGACGATTGACGTTATATTGTCAATATAACTGGTCTTTGT